TAAAGGGGTTCCAATTTAAGAGCAAAATAAGGTAGAATTTCTTCTCTCAGTGGGTTGAGTGCCTTTGGATCTCCTTGCCAGAGAGAGCTGTGCAGACAGAGTTCTTGTGTATATTTAAGGCTGCGATAAAGATTCTTGACCAATAGGGGAATAAAGGGTCACAGGAAAGGGCAAAAAAATGGACTTGAGGAATGTTGGATCAGCCATGATCCTATTGAATGGCTCAGCAGGCTCAAGCAGCCAAATAGCTTACTCCTGTTTCAATGTTTGTGATTTAAACCTCTTCACTGCAAACACCTTTTTCTAAGCTGCCATTTCAATTCCTTACATTACCTTGGACACAAACACAAAAGTACATGAAGTGACAAAGCAATTCTCCCACATTTTAAAAGTTTATTTATAAACTTTGATTCAATATTACAGAATTTTACTATGGGTTTATTTCTAAGATTGATGGTTTGGGAACATGCCTCAGCCTTTTTAAGTAAAGAACGGGATAAAAGGGAAACACATTACATCAATCAGTAAATCCCTGTCCCATAATTTAACTTCACTCCCTTCTATCCCAACTTCCTCTTTGTGACAAAAGGCAAAGGAAGGTTGTTTGCTGATTGTATTGCATATTGCATATCTCTACGTGAAAAATGCAAGGAAGTTTTTGCAGTGTCTTCACTTGGAATATTTCTTAATTAACTCTGTTAAGAACAGCAATCCAAATCTAACCTCATCAATGTTGCCTTTGGAACTGTAATAACCCCACATGGTTCATGGGAAATCACTAATTAATCTCCTCGTGGAGCTGATAGAGTACAAGTTCCTTCAGTAACAGGCAATGGTTTGCCCAGCTTGAACTCATCACCTGAGCCCTTTATAAAGAAGCAGACCCATGGGCTTTGCACATAAATATTCAATTGCTTATACAGATGAGTTACTTGTGTTGGTTAGTAGTACTCCTGAACTAGGAGGCCTGAATTCAAGCCCTACCTGTTCCAGAAGTGTGTAACAACATCTCTGAACAGGTTGATTAGAAAAATAGGGTAAAGCAGACATAGGGGTCCTCTCGTGGAGTAGTGGCAGTGTCCCTCCCCTGAACTGGGAAGCCCGGGATGAAATCATACAATGGCACAGAATAGATACAGACCCTTTGGTTCAACTAGTCCACACTGACCATATTCCCACACCATGCTCCCAAACTAAACCAGTCCCACCTGCCTGCATTTGGCCCATATCATAAAAATATTAGAAATAGGAGCAGGCCATCTGGCCCGTCGAGTCTGTTCTGTCATTCAATTAGATAATGGTTGATCTTTTTGTGAACTCAGCTCTACTTACCCGCTCACTCACCATAACACTTAATTCCTTTACTGTTCAAAAATCTATCTATCTTTGCCTTAAAAATATTCAGTGAGGAAGCCTTAACTGCTTCACTGGGCATGGAATTCCACAGATTCACAGCCTTTTGGGTGATGAAGTTCCTTCTCAACTCAGTCCTAAGTCTGCTCCCCTTATTTTGAGTCTATGTCCCCTTGTTCCAGTTTCACCTGCCAGTGGAAACAGCCTGCCTACTTCTATCTTATCAATCCCCTTCATAAATTTATATATTTCTATAAGATCTTCCTCATTCTTCTAAATTCCAATCAGTACAGTCCCAGTCTCTCAATCTCTCCTCATAGGTAACCCTCTCAATTCCAGAATCAACCTAGTGAACCTCCTCTACATCCCCTCCAGTGCCAGTACATCCTTTCTCAAGTGAGCAGACCAAAACTGTACTCAGTACTCCAGGTGTGGCCTCACCAGCACCTTATACAGCTCCAGTGTAACCTCCCTATTTTTAAACCCCATTCCTTTAGCGATGAAGAACAACATTCTATTTGTCATCTTAACTACCTGCATTCACCTTTTTGTGATTCATTCACAAGGACACACATCCCTCTGCACAGCAGCAAGCTGCAATTTTTTCACCATGTACACAATCATGTCTCACGAATTTAATTGAGCTTTTTGAAGAAGTAATGAAGAGAACTGATGAAGCCAGAGCGGTGGACGTGATCTATATGGACTTCAGTAAGGCATTTGACAAGGTTCCTCACGGCAGACTGGTTAACAAGGTTATATCACATGGAATACAGGGAGACCTAGCCATTTAGATACAGAACTGACTCGAAGGTAGGAGATAGAGGGTGGTGGAGGAGGGTTGCTTTTCAGGATGCAGCCCTGTGACCAGCGGTGTGCAAAAAGAATCAGTGCTGGGTCCACTGCTTTTCATCATCGATATAAATCATTTGGATGTGAACGTAAGAGGTATGGTTAATAAGTTTGCAGATGACACCAAAATTGCAAGTGTAGTGGACAGTGTAGAAGGTTATGTCAGAGAACAACAAGATCTTGATCAGATGGGCCAATAGGCCGATAGAGATTAATTAATAGGCAGATAAAAATTAATTTAGATAAATGTGAGGTGCTGCTTTTTGGAAAGGCATATCAGGGCAGGACTTATATACTTAATGATAAGGTCCTGGGGAGTGTTGCTGAACAAAGAGACCTTGGAATGCAGGTTCATTGTTCCTTCAAAGTAGAGTTACAGGCAGACAGGATAGTGAAGGCGGCGTTTGGTACACCTGCCTTTATTGATCAATCTATTGAGTACAGGAGTTGGGAAGTCATGTTGCGGCTGTACAGGACATTGGTTAGGCCACTTTTGGAATACTGCATTCAACTCTGGTCTCCCTGCTGTAGGAAGGACGTGAAACCTGAAAGGGTTCAGAAAAGATTTACAAAGATGTTGCCAGGATGGGAGGGTTTGAGCAAAAGGGAGAGGCTGAATTGGCTGGGGCTATTTTCCCTGGAGTGTCAGAGGCAGAGGGGTGACCTCATAGAGGTTTATAAAATCATGGGGGCGCATGGATAGGGTGAATAGGCAAGGTCTTTTCCCCAGAGTAGCAAAGTCTAAATCTAAAGGTGAGAGGGGAAAGATTTAAAAGGGGCCCAAGGGGCAACTTTTTCACACAGAGGGTGGTGCGTGAATGGAATGAACTGCCGGGGGAAGTGGTGGAGGTTGGTACAAGCTTCTGTCATTTTCGCTCCACATCACAGTTTCTCTCATCTTCTCAAAAGACTGGCTGGTCCACCAATTAATCACAGTGCCTATAGTTTCTTTTTATGAGGCTTATCGTGAATTATTTAATCATGGATTCAGAACACTGATGATCTAGGTAAACAGACTCAAGGATTTAACTGTTGCAAGGCAGAGCAGCCATCGGAATGTCAACAGTAGTGCGCAAACAAAACTGAAAATTGATAATATAGCAGAAGGGCTGATGGAAGAATGCTTCCTGGCAAATACTGGAAAGTGGAATAGGACTAATGAAGGGTCCAAGAGATTTATAGCTGGAGGTGTGGTGCACCACTGAGGTTCTGAGTGATAAAAGTAGTGGTAGAAGGCTCTTTGATCGCTGGAACCAGCTCCAATGTTCAGAAAAAGATAGTAGGAACTGCCGATGCTGGAGTCTGAGATAACAAGGTGTAGAGCTGGATGAACACAGCAGGCCAGGCAGCATCAGAGAAGGAGGAAAGCTGACATTTCGGGTCTCGACCCTTCTTCAGAAATTGGGGAGGGGAAGGGGACTCTGAAATAAATAGAGAGAGAGGGGGAGGCGATGATAGAAGGTGGATAGTGGAGCAGATAGGTGGAGAGAAGACGGACAGGTCAAGGAGGCGGAGTTGAAGCCAGTAAAGGTGAGTGTAGGTGGGGAGTTGGGATGGGGGTTGGTCAGTGGGAAGGGAGGGGTGGTTCGGTGGGAGGGAAGATGGATGGGTCAAGGAGGCGGGGATGAGGCTAGTAGATAGGAAGTGGGGGTGGGGGTTGGTCAGTGAGGTGGGACGAGCGGATAGGTCAGAGAAAAGACAGACAGGTCAAGGAGGCGGGGACAAGATGGGCCGGTCTTGGGATGAGGTCGGGGGAGGGGAGATTTTGAAGCTCATAAAGTCCACATTGATACCGTTGGGCTGTAGGGTTCCCAAGCGGAATATGAGG